GCACATCTTGTTGAATGAATGTAAGGCACCAAAGGCTCAAATTGTACAGTCTCTCTGTACAAGTTATTATTTTGATGTTGTGTGTTCGCTGAGTATAATTAAAAGTAATAGCTGTTATATGAAAGCAGGCTAATGTAGAAACCTAATGAAAGATTGTTTTCTTCAGAATGGTAGCCAAAATTTTCCAAATAAAGTTTAGAACTCAAACACATGAGAGAGGTATTACTTATAACATTACTTATTTGGAACTCTTGGTGTGTTATTTTTAATGTTAATAGAAGAACGCTTTCAGCATCAAGTGTTATACAAGAAGTAAAACAAGTTTTTTAGTAGTTATGTGTTGTGTAATTTGCAATTAATATAATTATTTTTGCATCAGAGACTTGCCTGCTTACCAGTTTTTATACTGTTGCCGTAAAGTGAAGGCTTTTAAAAACAGAAAGTTATTTGGAGATGATCTTTGTAGTTTTTCAATGGAGGCCCTAAACAACCCATGATCTTCGAGATGATGGTGCATATTTATATCATGTTGTAGCAAGTACCCAGTGTTTTTAAAAATTCCTCCGAATGAATAAGTATCCAGATTTTTTTCAACACTACAAGTGTTGCAAAAAAATAACACGATAAGCCACACCCATTCGTCTCCATATTTCAAAGCATGGCCAGCAGAAGGGACACTGGGAAAAATAGAGTTTGATTCAAGGTCTAGTGTTCAACGCAAGAGACTCACAATGCCTTTATCAACACAGGAGTACAAATGGGTAACGGCAAACTATCAGACAATCTGATAAAATGCATGAAGGGGTAACCTTTGGGGGAGTAGCTCAATACTCCATTCACAAATAATGCTGCGGAAACTGCAATAAGCTGGGTGCTGTTACTGTCCTATGTAGAAAACTTCTATTTGCTCGTCATGCACTCCAAGTGAAGGATGCTAAGTTTTTCAGGTCACTCTGGCATTAGTGCAGACAAAAAGGGACAACAATTAAATTACTTCCAAAGTTTGTAATATTTAATTTCTGTTGTTATTTGTTGCATTTGTCACACTTGTTGTCAAGAATACTTTAATTAAATTAAGTAATACAAAAAGTTTTCGATATTTTCCATAAGAATTACATGTATCTACAATACAATGAAACACTCAAGTACAACTATTTACATTTATATATCAAGGCTACTTCTGAATTTTACAAAATTAGTAAATCTGACAGATAAGCTGTCCAAAGTGGCATAAAAATAAATCACTCAAGACATTAAGGTTGCCCAATGGACTTCGATCACCTTTCTTGCAATTATTTAAACTGATGTCACAGTGAGAAAGGCATGTGAATATACATAATACGATTTTAAAAGGACCTTGTATTATTTTTTCATACCGGAATGTTTGTTATTTATGAAATATTTCATATGAAAATCATGCTGTGTGTTGGAGTGAAAGCATTACTGCTCTTATGTACTTTTCTGGAATGGCATAATTTGTCCACAGGACCAAAGGTTTATTTCTAAGTGTTTTTAACACCATATTTTTGTTGAAGCCTGGGAAAACAGTGCTTTAATAGTTAAACAATTAAAATTGTTCTCTTAGATATACTAAACTGTAAACTTGGGTATGCTTCTTCTGACATCACTGTCAAAGAACTGATGGCTAAGGGCATTTCTTGCGGATATTCGACTAGTTGGTTCATAAACAAGCATTTGCTGTACAAGAAGAGTAAACAAAATAGCATGTACAGTATTAATAACTTATAAGAACTTTATTTTTAGCACCAATGTGCTTATTGGAGACATTGGACGCTAATGGAAGCTGAGGCTGCAGATCAGCCACCAGTTTCATTAGTATGTCCAAGATGATTACTGTTACACCAGATTAAATGGCCTATGGCAATGAGAGCCAATCTTTATACTAACAGTAATGTGCTTCCTAAACCACTAGAACATCACTGAGCAGGCTTTTTTCTTTTCTTTTTTTTAAAAAGTTAGTTTCCAAAGAGCATTTTGGTAGAGAGCAACCAAGATACTAACTTTTTATAATCTACTTCTTTATTTGTTAACTGTGCATCTCTCAAGGTAAACCTTTGACTAGGTGTGGAAAACAGACTGTAATAAGTACCTGTAATAAGTCAGCGCCTGGTTGACTAAGGGCGGGTATAACTTGAAGAAGATTTTGTACCGGCCACTTTGGAAAGGAACTTTTATAATCAGGAAGTTCGGCTACTCCAGGCCATAACCTTTCATCTGGAGTCCCTAATGTTCTGTGAATAAAACAAAATGCACCATAATGCTTCCAAGCACTTAGTCTTGTTGAAACTAGGGGGTGAAGCTCTAGGCATGCTGTGTAGATTATGAAGAGGACATAAACCTACAAAGGAGCCAGGTTCCTGTCTAGTTGTTTTGTTACATGTTCTTGAGTGAAAAGCATTTCTCTGATGACTACAATATAAGAATTACTTTTGGATAACCTGACAAACTGTTGGGAGGCAACCTGTGGTTTCTGTGGACTGGTATTTCACGAAGAATGCCCATAGCTACATGCCTGCTTCAAGGACTATAGACATATTATACACACATACATTGTGTGGCTCCTGGAAATAACCATATCCCCACCTCAAAAATGGCTATTACAATTCCTGCCAGGGAAAGTAATTTCAAAGGCTTAAACTGTCTAAGCAAATTATCAAATGAAGCTAAACTGGAATTTCCAGGAGGGTGGCATTGCATTCCAACCAGAATTCCTCTATGGGGGATACTGGTTACTTCTGGAGCAATGCAGTGAAGACATTTAACTATACCTTACATTACAGCAGCCTTGCATACTGTACATTCCTTACCTAAAAATTCTAAATAGCTGGTCAATTTCAGAATCCCCTGGGAAAAGGGCTCTTCTTGTTATCTAGGAAAAGCAAATAAAAGATTGCAAGTGATAGATACTAAGCAAAGCACTATGGTAAAAACGACAAGTGAGAAACGTACAGTAACTATACAAAAAGCATCTACTGACCATTTCTGCAAATATGCAACCAATACTCCATACATCTACAGGTGTTGAATAATAACGACAACCCAAGAGAATTTCTGGTGCTCTGTACCATAAAGTTACAACTTCATGGGTGTATGATCTTACTGGAACCCCAAAAGCCCTAGCTAAACCAAAATCTGCCAGTTTTATGGACCCATGAGAGTCTATAAGGAGATTTTGTGGCTTAAGATCTCTGTGTAAAATTCTATGGGAGTGGCAAAAGGCTATGCCACTTAACAACTGGTACAGGTAGCTCTGTAGATGAAGAAAAGAATACAAATATCAATATTGGTGATGCTAGTGTTAATAGAGAATGCTATGTGCTTTCCTAGGGTAGAGTTAACTACAGAAACAACACTACAAGGGAAGAATGTTTTGGGTGTTTAACTGGTGATTATGTTATTTGCATTGAAGCTAAGTATCTAAAGTGAGAGACCAAGTGGCCAAATAGTTTGGCATGTTAGGCTCCAAATTGGGTTAATGTTGTGTCAAGCACTGAGTGATCTATTGTGTTGAGTTCTAGGGCAAGAAAATTGGTTAACATGGTGTCCTCTCTTGGGGAGGGGGGGGGNTGGGGTCTTGTACTGGCAAACTGTTAGCAAACCTCAGTGGCAAATTGTTTAGGGCAGCCCATGAGGGGTGGGGTGGGGAGGGGTGGTGGGGGTAACAATGCTGTTAGTTGCTCTATGTAACAGAAATGGGTCCACATAATCTCCTACACTGTATGCCACTTTGGTCCAAGAGCAGACTTATAGATCTGTAAAGCAATTACTCTGAACCTGTTGGCATAGATTTCATCAAGCGACATGGCATTGAAACAACATGGAGGCCAACAACATCACGAGGGACTACAACGTTTTGAAATTCAGACATGTACAATGTTCCTAAACTTCTACATGATGGAGTTTGAAATCTGATTGAGAAATGCACAACCCCTTAACAGAGTCTTGTCACTTAGGTGACTTTCTTAGGGAGAGAAATTTAAATGAAATATTAATTAAAATTACCTTAACTAGTGACAAAGAAATTCCACCAGCAGGTGCCGAGTCCATATACTTTTTAAGGTCTTTATCTAGGTACTCAAATACAAGGAACAGCTTTTTATCACTAGGAACCACATCTAGCAATCTGTGAAGTCAAATAAAAATACCAGTTAACCCAGAGATCTTCAGAGGCCTTGGCAACCGCCAGCAAGACTAACAGTCTATCACTGTGAGACAAAAGAACTGGAAAAATGAGAGTGTTTTATCAGGGTACAACTCTGTCCACAATCAACCAAAATGTACCTGGTTCTCAAAAAACTGGAGGCTTCTTCTCGGTAACTTTCAATAACTTTCTCTTTCAACTTTAAAATATTTAGAAAATCCTGCATGGTTTCTGGCAAAATTTAGGGAAATTTTCAATTGAGACGTAATGTCTCTGATCTATTTCAAGAGAGCTAAGTAAAAATTTCAAAGGTTCCACCAGGCTTTGTCTACCTGAATACCTGTGGTCGAAATGATTTTAGCTTGAAAGTTTTTCAAACCACATTATTTTTTTTTTTACATGTGGTCTGAAAACTGGTTAATATTTAGTCTGCCACAGAACCATTATAGATATCGTGGTCTATCAAATTCACCTAACCATTTTGATATCGGCAAATTTTCCATTCTTAGGGTTAATACAGTGTCCAGTCATTATAAAGTTAGCTAACCAAGCATTGGCTTTTAATAAGCTATTAAACAATCCGAGTGCCAGCAATGCCACTATTGTCATTTCCGTCAACACGTGGACAATTGGTGGCAACGTAAATTTGAACAATGATTTTGTCGTGCTAGGCTATGCCGAAACTCAGAATATACTCTAAGATGTAAAATCGTTTTCTTTCCATTACGCAAGGTCAAAATGTAATGGCGACTGCAGTTGCGGAACGAACACTACTCTGAAGGCTAAGGCGAGAGCATTGTGAGCCTCAAACTCGATATAATGGTTATACATGCAATACCTTCGAGACCACCAGCGCTTCAGTTCGAATATGAAGAACACTGGCTTTAGAATTTCCGAAAAATATATAGTTGAAGCATAAATACAAGAGCATCGAGTAGCTGTATGACGTGGCGATGAGAAGCAGTTAAAATGTTGGGAAAACATTGAAATGAACACCTCGCTAATCAAATTAGGCTCAAGCAGCTTCGCTATAAATAATTTTTAAATTTGTTATGATGTAGCTGTGATTCTAATACTTTGGTGTAAGGAATTTGGTTGCTTGCCAGGAGTATGTTAAAAGTCATAAAAATACAACCTATGGGCATTTTTTTTGCAGTCATTAGAAATCACTCAATTCGTTCGGTTCGTATGAGGTTTTATTCAAATCCTGTGCAAAACCAAAATTCCTTCAGAGCCCCCAATATTTCTTTGTTCGTCTCTCTGAGGCATGAGCTTTTCTTAACATCGTTTAGGTCGCAACCTTTAGTCGGAGAAAGTAAGAACGAGAGGAATTTGCCGCAAATACGCGATTATTGTCGTCGTTAATTGAACCAGTTCATGATGTTGAAGCCATCATGCTGCAAAGCTCGCGTACTAGCCGAGAGCAACAGACGAACCTACCTAACCACATTGGGATGATTAAGCTCTTTGAGTAAAGAAATTTCCCTTATTGCTGTACTTGGTACGCCATCAGATTCTCTGAAAAATACAAAGTAACGCAATGGAGACTGAACTACGGCCTGATAAGCTTCAGTCTTACGTTTATACGTTTCCCAACAAAGTGGCTTGCGTTAGCAGTTTTTACGTTTGTTCTCAACAGTCTTATTGAAGCGTTGGTTCATTTCCCTCACTGCTAATAATCGACAAATAATTTGCTTGGTGTATTCCTTATTAAATTTCCCAGAGAAGCTGCCATAAGGTTGTCCAAATAATTTTTTTTATACCCAAGCGATAACGCCATAGTGAAGGTCACAAATTAAGTTTATGAATATCACTCACGTATCTAAGCGAATCTTTTTCAGCGCAACCGTTCGCCCTGAGCCTTTATCCTTTGCTTTATATACAACTCCATATGTTCCCTCTCCAATTTTCTCGAGCTTCTGGAAAGCGTCCATGAGGCAACTGGAAAAATTGGGCACTTTTTTCTAACCCTCTCGTGATAAAGTCGAAGTTTACGCTCATATATTTTCTTTCATACAAGCAAACAGAGTGCACAAATTCCCGCTTGTTCGTTGCACCGGTGATTGGTTGGTGTTTCCCGCGCAATAATCTGATTGGCTTCTGCAAGAACTTTTCAGTAATTTGATTGGTCAAATGTTCACCTGAGCCCTAAAGCAGCGTTTGGTTGGGACAGTGATCATCCCCCATCACAACAAAATGGTGGACGAGGAGGACAGAAAAAGTTCTCAAACTTTCGGTTGTTTTCATCCGTTGCTCAAGCAATTATCTGTCATAAATTAGATTTAGATTTACGCCAGTTGACAAATCATGTGAGAAAGAAAAAGAAGTGGAAACACCTCACCCTTAACTTGTACCTCGCGAAACTACAGGGACCAAGACAGTGCGACAGCACATTTTGGTCTCCACATAGGCATATGGAGGGTAACTTTTCTCAAGTTTATGTCCACCAAACTAAGGAACTTTTTAGCGCCATGAAATCTTACGATACAGTTGCTGTGGACAGGTTTCGTCGAATGGAAGAAGACTACCATAATGGCCGAAGGGGTGGGGGCACTCCCCAAAGTTTTTGGAGGGGCTGTGTGGTCCAAACCTCAAAACCCTATTTCAGACCAAAATCTGTGATTTCCATACCCTTTTTCAGACCTGAGTGAAAAATTGAAAACCCATTTCAGACCTCTACAATTAGTACACGGCTCTAATATATGACCACAGCTAACCAGAATTGGCTTCCAATTGCCGCAACATTTGAGAAGAGCTACAAATTTGGGAATGTTGATGTGGAAAAAATAGTCCCTCATAAACAAAATACTCAACGCCAAGCTAGAGTGAAAAATATATCCTATTTCAGACCAAAACAATCTATACCCTTTTCAGACCGAAACCATTCAGAAGCCATAACCTTTGGGGCCGCACATACCTAAATAGCCCATAGCCCATATAGGAGAGTGCCCCCCCCCCCCTCTCCCAGCTGGCATAAGTATCCTAAATGACCAAAGAAGAAAGCTTTTGTCCCAAACAGAAAGCTTAGTTTGATTTAACTGCACAAACTATATTTCTCAAGCTTTACCCTACTGTGTGGGTGGATTTTCTGTAATATCGAAAGTAACAATCAGATTTTTTTAGCTTGCTGTTCACTTGGAATTAGTTTGGGGACAGGCCAAGGTGTGCATGGGATTTCAATACTGAATAAAAAAAATAATAAGATATATAGCATACTTCACTTTCTGCCCAGACACTGATTTCTTTCTTTTTAATCTTCCAGTCCAGTATTTTATGCGGATACACACAAACCCCTCTTTCATTTGCACAGTGCATTTATCATTAAGCTTGCATTTATGTTTGTCTTTCTTCTTTTATGATAATAACATCGTCTTCAATGTAAATATTAATTTAAATTAACTTAGCACACGGCCAACGCCAACTTATATCTGCATGACAGTGACCAACTCGAAAGCTTATTGGGTACTTTAGTCACTGTACACAATTAAATATTGTTTCTTCTAGTTTATTTCTATCTGTATTTATTTTTCCTATATCATTGTAAACCATCTTACGTTAAGTTGTTTTTCTGTAAATAGTGTGCAATAATAAAACTGTGCATATGCATGGTACTTACCAAGCTGATTAGTATTTTCTGTCTTGTGAGGCACAAGGTTGATTTTTCTACCTCACCTCAGCAAAATTAGAAGGCTCTGCCCAGTCGCTCATTAGCTGGGTAGGACTTTAAGCAGTTCTTAATCCAAATATCTCTGTTGTAAACTCCATCAAGACATTTCTCTATAGCAATGGCAGAGACCCACTGGGCATTGCTTGTTCAGAACTCATCATAGCGAATGTGTTTTACCTAGGAGAGTTCCTATAATTCAGCTAAATTGGCTTTACATTGAGCACATCAGAAATGAATTTACGTAACAGATCAATTCCTTCCCAGCCGTCAAATGAACCACAAAGTTCTGGTAAATCTTGAAAATCTCTGTGGTGGGAACAGAGGAATAAAATCTCCTTGAGTCACAGGGAGGTGGAAAGGAGGAAGCTAAAGTATGCTTTTCCGGGATTAATAGGTATGACAGCACAATGAAATCAAAACAAAATTACAAATAAGATGTAACATTTATTTATAATCACAAAAATAAAGAGTACAAGAAAACATTTCTGTGACTGAAAAGAAGCTCACGTTTTACACCACATAACTTAATGTGTCTTTCTCATGGGCTGTTATGCAAATATATTATAAAATTCATGTCGTAACCCACATGACAACTCAAACAATAGCACTCATTGCCCACTGCTTCACTTCTGTTGGACAATCTGGGTATCTCTGAAGTGCATCATTTATTTGTATTGGATCAATTAACAAGGTAACAAGTCGGTATTCTTTAGGAGTATTTTTTGCAATGCTGTCAATCGACTTCACAAACTCCAAAGCTGTTAGGTGTTCAAAGGCCTAAAAGTGAAATAAGAAAAAATAATCAATATGGACATATGACTAGACATGTTGAATATGGGATCATAGACCATAGAGCTTTTTTAATGTTCTTTTGGTTTTGGTTTCTTAGACAACGCACTCAAATCATCATTCATGTGGTGCCTCCTACCACATGGAATTAAAATATCGGTACCAGCAAATCATTTGCAATTGGATTACTTTGAAGACAGAGCTGCGATGATACAAGCTAAACTCCATGAATGATGAGCAAATGTCTGCGACTAAATTTCAAATCTTTTCAAGTTGCAATTTTGGAAGGTCCTTACATTCCTTTCACAATTTAGAAAACGTTGTGTCACTGCTCTATTTCCCTCCACCCCCTCCCAAGTCCAGGCTTTAAGTTAAGTAAGTCAAGTATGACATTCAACTTCATTTCGTCTGCCTACATGCTGCTGTTTCAAATTACGCAGCGCCACTTGCCAGAATTTTAGCCTGCACTGCCAGCAATCTACTGCAACAACATGTCTATGCCAAAAATGTATAACAGTGATCCTAGTCTAGCCACAGTTCAAACCTGGACCACTCGCACCAGAATCCAGCACAACAATTTGTCTAAAGGCCATGCCCATTCATGTACCTTCCCTAAAGATGTGAAAACCTACCTTTAAAACAACAGGTTTTTCAAAAGACTGAACAGTAAATCCTTTCTTTTGGGCAAATTTTTGATACTCTGTAAACAAATGGAACAAATGGCAAGTGTTATCTTTATTAAATGAATCAATGATAATTTTACAAGTATACACTAAAATGGCACTACATTATTTTATTTTTTTAAAACAAATATTGACCAAAACAAAACAATTCATTCAAGAATGACATTGATCATTAAGTGACGCAAGCTACTAAAAATCTGTGAACTCCCTGGGCTACTTGTGCACCCATTAAAAGTCTCCTATCTCTTAGCTGTAGAGCATCCAACAAGTGAGTGTCAAAGTCATACATGTAAAGATGTAAGTCCTTGCAACTCCTTCTGGGAAAACTCAGACACATGTTCCTGAGTTTTTAGTGAATGGTGGGAGCATTTTAGGGAGCAGGGTGGGCTCAGTGGTGAGAGCGCTCGCCTCCCACCAATGTGGTGAGGTGGGGGTTTGATTCAGGCCCGGTGTCATATGTGGGTTGAGTTTGTTTTTGGTTCTCGTTTGGCTCAGGGGGGTTTTCTCTGGGTTCTCCAGTTTACCTCCCTCCACAAAAACCAACATCTTCAAATTCCAAATTTTTCGACCAGGATAGTTGAGAAGGTGAATTAATCAACATGACATGAGCGTGGGACAAAGAAAAATTCTCAGTCCCTGACAGGAATTGAACCCATGACCTCCTGAACACCGGGCGGGCGCTCTATCCACTGAGCTATGAGAACTCATGGAGAGCAAGGTCATTTAACTGAGTTCATATATGACATGACCTCCCAAACACCGGGCAGGCGCTCTATCCACTGAGCTACGAGAACTCATGGAGAGCAAGGTCATTTAACTGAGTTCATATATGATAGGTGTCCTGC